GGAATCGCCGTTTTTTCTGTCCCACTGCGCTACCCCAAACGCTGTGTTTCTGCAATCCCCTGGGCTGGCCCACTGTCCAAGTCTCCTTCAGTCTCAAGTTCAGCCCTCTCAATTCTCAGGTTGCCAGTTCAACAGGGCACCCGGACAAGTGCGCCCTGTGGGGAGCGCTGGGTCAGGCTGGCCACTGCCACCCTGGCTGCCGGCTTCTCCAGGCAGAGCCTCTGCTTGGTGTCCCACGTCTCCTTTATACTTGGGAATTTCCCCGTTCTGTGGGCAACAAAAATGAGTCTGAAAATGCAGCTCTGACTCACCTCTCTGTGGGTTCACCGAAAGCTTCAATCCTGGGTTGTTCTCACAGCGCCATCTTGAGTCCACCTCCCATTTCTTAATTTTTCTTAAACCAGTCGGTGGGGATTGGCAGGTGGTTGATGAGCACTTAGCCTGTTTTCATATCTTGGCTATTGTGAATAAGGCTGTAATAAACATAAGTCCAGATATGCCTCCCATATATTGACTTTAGTTCCTTTAGATATATACTAGTATCCCAGAATTGGGATTACTGGGTTACATGCTAGTACATGCTAGTACTATTTTTAGTTTTTCTTTTTGAGGCAACTCAACACGAAGAGTTTTTCACAATAGCTGTTCTAATTTACATTGCTCTCAACAATGCATAAGAGTTTCCTTTTCTTCCCATCCTTTCCAACACTTGTTTTCTTCATGTTTTTGAAAAAAGTGAGTCTAGCAGATGTGAGGCAATATCAAAATCAAAATACAGGGAATAGTTTTAAACTCATTTAGTAAGCTAGCATTATCATGATATCAAAGTCAGGCAAATACACTACAAGAAAAGAAGAATTAGAAGTCAATATCCCTGAGAAGCATAGATGTAAAAATTCTCAACAAAATATTGGCAAACCTGATGCAAGAACATATTAAAAGAAGCATTGACCAAGAACAGGAGAGATTTGGCCCTTGGATACAAGAATGGTTTGACATATGCAAATCAATAAGTATGATACAACACATTAACAAAATGAAGGATAAAAATTATATAATCATCTCAATAGATACAGGAAAAGCATTCAACAAAACTCAACATCCTTTCATGAGAAAAACTCTCAGTAGTTGAGGCATAGAGGGAATGTCCCTCCATATAATAAAAATATCATTCTTCACCTGAAAAGTTAAAAAAACTTGCCTCTAAGATCAGGACAAGACAAGCATACCCACTCTTGCCACTTCCTTTGAACTCAAAGTTCTAGCCAGAGCAATTAGGCAAGAGAAAGAAAGAAAAGGCATGCTAATAGGAAAGAAAGAAGTGAAATTGTCTGTGTTTGCTGATCACATGATCTTGTATGCAGAAAACCCTAAAGACTTCACACACACACACACACACACGCACACACACAGCTATTAGAAATGATAAACAAATTTACTAAACTTGCAGGATACAAAATCAACATTTAAAAAATTAGTAGCATTTAATATACTAATAACAAAACTATCTAAAAAGGAAATTAATACAACAAATTCATTTACAATAGCAACAGAAAATAAAATACTTAGGTGTAAATTTAACCAAAGAGATAAAAGACCTATATACTAAAAACTATAAAATGCAGATGAAAAAACTGCAGAAAACACAGATAGATTTCCTGTGTTCATGGACTGGATGAATTAATATTGTGAAAACACCCATAGCACACAAAGTGATCTATAGATTCAATGAAATCCCCATCATTTTCACAGAAATGGAAAAAAATCCATAAATTCATATGAAACTACAAAGACCCGAAATAGCTAAAACAATCTTGGGGGAAAATAACAAATCACACTCCCCGATTTTAAAACATATTATAAAACAATTGTAATTAAAACTGCACAGTACTGGTATAAAAACAGACATGGTTACCAATGAAACAGGATAGAAAATCCAGAAATAAATCCACACACTATGGATAAGTTATTTTTAATAATGATGACAAGTATACACAATGGGAAAAGGACAGCCTCTTCAATAAAAGGTGCTAGGACACATGGTAAACCACATGCATGAGAATGAAATTAGATTCTTATATCACACCATAGACGAAAATCAACTGAAAATGAATTAAAGACTTAAATGTAAGACTTGAAACTATAAAATGATTAAAAGAAAATGTAGGGGGCAGCTCCATGAGATTGGTCTTGGCAATAATTTTTTTGATATAACCCTGTATGCACAGGTTACAAAAGCAAAAATAGATAAATGGGATTAGGCCGGGCATGGTGGATCAAGCCTGTAATCCCAGCACTTTGGGAGGCCAAGATGGGTGGATCATGAGGTCGAGAGATCAAGACCATCCTGGTCAACATGGTGAAACCCCGTCTCTACTTAAAAATACAAAAAATTAGCTGGGCATGGTGGCACGTGCCTGTAATCCCAGCTACTCGGGAGGCCGAGGCAGGAGAATTGCCTGAACCCAGGAGGCAGAGGTTGCGCTGAGCTGAGATCGCACCATTGCACTCCAGCCTGGGTAACAAGAGCGAAACTCTGTCTCATAAAAAAAAAAAAGAAAAGAAATGGGATTAATCAAACTAAAACATTAAACTAAAAAGCTTCTGTGCAGCAAAGAAAACAATTAACAAAGTGACAACCCACGAAATGGGAAAAAAGTATTTGCAAACCATACATCTGATAAGCGATTGATACCCAAAATATATCAGAAACTCAACTCAATAGGAAGAAAACAAATACCTTGATTTTAAAATGTGCAAAGGACGTGACCAGACATTTCTCAAAAGAAGAACCACTAACAGCCAACGGGTACATGAAAAAATGCTCAGCACTGAGCTAATCATTAGGGAAATGCAAATTAAAAGCTTCAATTGGTATTGGTTCTTTTTTCTTTTTTTCAAGAAATGGGGCTCTCCTTAATGTTGCCCAAGATGATCTCGATCTCCTGAGCTAAAGCAGTCCTCCCACCTCGGCCTCTCAACGTGCTGAGATGACAGTAGCCAGCCACTGAGTTCATTCCTTCCATTGGTTTAAAGGAAAGTTTTATTTTAAGGAGTCAGAGTTACTGAGATATTCTTTCCCCCTTGGAAAGATACTCTATTTAAAGACTACCACAAAAAAGTATAAGGCTATATTTTTAATCCCAAAATTTGCAAAAATCTGGCAAAGTAATGCTCCCAAATGTGTTTACATGTGTGAAGTATGAATGGAAGTATATATTTGACTCTTCGCAATTGCATTAGAAAAGCTAGTCACCAGACTTACCTGTGCTAATTCCCTGTACATCCAACTTGCACTTTCCTCACTGTGAGAACAAGTTACAGATCCACACTTCTATTCCCTCTCTGTGTGGCACCAGTGGCCACAGCAGGACTGCCCTAAGTCAGTGAGGACATCCACCAGGGTGGCTGGCTGCTAACTAGAGGCAGAGTCATCCAGATGGTCACCTAATGTGATTTTCTTTCTTTAGAACTGTTTTTTCTATAAGGAAAAACTGGCAGCATAAAGCAGGAATGTATTTTGACAGTATCAAAGTAGAAAAGGCATTGCATTAATGGCGATGCAAACAATACACAGATGCCTGCCCAGGGTGGGATTGAGGACTGCAGTCTGTGTTCGTTAATCTCCTCCATCTGTCCTGACTCTTTCCTTTTTAAATGTCCTTTTACATTCAGTGTATTCAGTGTCCAAATGTTCCCACTGTTCCAGGTGGATGCTGAGGCCATAATCTGGGACTACAGCAGGTCCTTCCCTTGGAACAAAAGATCTTTGTCACAATTTTTCTTTAAATGCATATCCTGACTGATAATTTTGTAGAGACAGGTACAATTGGTGAAAAGAGGGCTGAGTATTAGACAATCTGTCTAGATTTCAGTGAAGTTGGCTAGTATCTCTGGGTAATGAAGGGTGAGTAATTATTTAAGTAAACGAGGGAAAACTCCCAAAGGTTGCCACCACCAGGGCCAGGACTCAGAATCAAGATCCTTAGCTGGCTTTCTCCTCCCTCCTCAACGTGTGTGTGTGTGTGTGTGTGTGTGTGTGTGTAATAAGAATAAAAAGCCAGGGGTGGTGGTCTTTAATCCCAGCACTTTGGGAAGCTGAGGTGGACAGATCACCCACCTGAGGTCAGGAGTTCGCAACCATCCTGGCCAACATAGTGAAATCCCTTCTCTACTAAAAATACAAAATTAGCCAGGCATGGTGGCACATGCCTGTAATCCCAACTACTGGGGAAGCCAAGACAGGAGAATCGCTTGAACCCAGGAGCAGAGGTTGCAGTGAGCCGAGGTCTAGGCATTGCACTCCAGCCTGGGCAACAAGAGCAAAACTCCATCTCAAAAAAATTAAATTAAATTAAAAAATCATAGCTAGTAAGACTCTGAAATATAAACTCCAGGTCTGACTGGCCTTAAAATATGTCAGCATATTACACATCGTCCGTAATGAAAAGAATGTGGCGTTGAAGTATAATTAGACAGAAAAAAAATAAAGGAAAAGGAGAAAATCTAGGAATTGGCCCATATGCCAGCGTATGATGAAATATAGTGAATTATATAAGTGGAGCCTTGGATTATTGGGTAAAAGACTGTTTTTCAATATACTGATTTAGGAAAATACATAAAAAATTGAGAAAATTTAAAAATGAATCTGTAGGCACACACATTGCTGGAAAAAAATCAAAGAACTCGAGAGCTAAAGGTGAAAAATAAGGCTCAAAAATGTCTTTAAAATATATTGAGAGATTAAATGTATTTACAAAAGAGTATACCATGACCGCAGTCATAAGCCACACTGGGGAAGTTGTTTCCATATATCACAGAAACGGGTACACATTCCTAATGTATGGCTAAAGCCCCTAAAACTCAGTAACCGCCTGTCTGGAAACCCTCCGGACGAACACAGCGCGGCCACGAGGCACGTAGGAGAAGATTCTGGGTAGTTCAGTCCTGGCCGCGCTGAGGATTCTGGGTAGTGTGGTCCCCAACCACGCTGAGGGTTCTGGGTAGCGTAGTCCCGGGCGGCCCCAAGGATTCCCGATCCCCGGGCGTCAGCGAGCCGTGAGGTTCGTGGTCTGCCGCCGGTGACCTCACCGACCCGGTTCGCCCTCTGCGCCCTGGTGAGCCCGGCTCTTGCGGGTCCGCTCTCCAGCGCGCCCTTCTCGCGCGGGAAGGAGGGCCGGGAAGGCCTGGGCCGCTGGGGAGCGCTGCTGGGGCCGCAGTGCGCGCTCCCTCGGGCCTGGCGTCTCTGTTCTGGGAGGGTCGGAGACCCCGGTTGTGCCTTGAAGGGGGCGGTGGGGCTGCGGCTCAGTCTGTCACCCGAAGCGTGCAGGGGCGGGGCGGGCAGTGAACGGCCCGGATTTCACTGGGTCGCCGAGCAACCCAGGTCCCCGTGTGCCCGGGTCGCTGCTCCTCGGGTGGAGACGGGGCAGGCGGCCCAGCGAGCTGCCACGGGGGTCTTTTAGTAGAAGGTGGAGAGGGACTTGGCCACAGCCAGGGTCGGCAGGTGGGGTGGGGGTTACAGCAGAGAGTCTGGGGGGGGCGCTGAGTCCGACTCGGCTTCCCTCCAACTCTGATGCTCCAGGCTTCGTTGTGGGAGGTGGGACCCGGGAAGGACCTCGCTCTCGTCTTTTGGGAAAGGGCCACGGCTCTGGGTTGGGTGCCGCCCGCCTCGGGATGATCTTGCGCGGATGGGAGGGTAGGCCGGGACCAAGTGTCCTCGCCCGGGCACTTTCCAGACGTGTCTGGGGACTGCGTGGTGCAGCTTCCAAGGGAGGTGGGGTGGCTGTGGGGACCCAGGGAGCCTCTTCGCCGGTTCCCTGCTGATGACGGCAAAATCCGGGTTCTACCAAATATGTTTAAAGAGATTTATTCTGATTCAGTGTAAGTGACTGTGGTCCAAGTTATTCAGTCTCAAGAGGTCCTGAGAAAGTGAGCTTGAGGCGGTGGGTTGCAGGTTAATTTTATGCAATTCAAGGAGACAGGAATTTCAGGTAAAATCATAAATCGGACCGAGCATGGTGGCTCACACCTGTAATCCCAGCACATTGAGGGGACCAGGAATTCCAGAGCAGCCTGGGCAGCACAGCAAGACCCTCTCTCTACGTGAAATTAGCAAAACAAAAAATTAGCAGGACGTGGTGTCCCACACTTGTGGTCTCAGCTGCTTAGAAGGCCCAATCAGTTGAGTCCGAGAGATGGAGGCTGTAAGGAGCTATGTTGGCTCCACTGCACGCCAGCCTGGGAGACACAGCAAGACCCTGCCTCTAAAAAGAAAATCATAAATCAATATGAGAAAAACATACGTGGGTTCCTCCCAAAATTTCTGAATTTTTTTTTCTTGGCTGAGTTTTTGCTCTTGTCGGCCAGGCTGAAGTGCAATGGCGCAATCTTGGCTCACACAACCTCCGCCTCCCAGGTTCAAGCAATTCTCTTCCCTCAGCCTCCCGAGTAGCTGGGATTACAGGCATGCACAATCACGCCCGGCTAATTTTGTATTTTTAGTAAAGACGGGGTTTCTCCTTGTTGGTCCGGCTGCAGTCGAACTCCTGACCTCAGGAGATCCACCGCCTCGGCCTCCCAAAGTGCTGGGTTTACAGGTGTGAGCCACCATTGCTGGGCCAAGCCAGAATATTTTTAAACAGGTTTACACCTCATGGGGGTACTTAGGGATTCTTTTTTTTTTTTTTTTTTTTTTGAGACGGAATTTCGCTCTTGTTACCCAGGCTGGAGTGCAATGGCGCGATCTCGGCCCACCGCAACCTCCGCCTCCTGGGCTCAGGCAATTCTCCTGCCTCAGCCTCCTGAGTAGCTTGGATTACAGGCATGCGCCACCCTGCCCAGCTAATTTTTTGTATTTTTAGTAGAGACGGGGTTTCACCATGTTGACCAGGATGGTCTCGATCTCTTGACCTCGTGATCCACCCGCCTCGGCCTCCCAAAGTGCTGGGATTACAGGCATGAGCCACCGCGCCCAGCCAGGGATTCTTTAGTGAACAATTTGTTGAGAGACTTAAGCTATTGTCTAAAGACTAGAATCAGAAGCATACCAGCATTAAGGGGATTGCATAGATAAAAATTCCTAATATGTAGATGAAGCCTCTTCCTTGGCAGCCCTCAGAATAGATGGTAAATGTGTATTTTGACACCTTTTTTTTGAGATAAAGTCTTGCTCTGTCACCCAGGGTGGAGTGTAGTGGTCCTGCCTTAGTCTCTTAAGTAGCTGGGACTACAGGCACCTACCATCATGCCTGGCTAATTTTTGTATTTTTAGTAGAGACGGGGTTTCAACATTTTGGCCAGTTTGGTCTCTTATCTCCTGACCTCAGGCGATCCTCCCATCTCAGCCTTTCAATGCGCTGGGATTACAGGCGTGAGCCACCCCCTCTTCCAGATCTAGGAAAGGCTTAGAATGAGAGAGGTCTGGTTACATTAATGGAGGTTCTCTACAGATGCAAATATTCCCACCAAAGACAGCTTTGCAGGGCTATCCATTTCGATCTGTTGCCTTTGTGGCAGCCATTTCAACATGTTGAAGAAGTATATTTTGAGGTAAAATAATTTCCTCAGCATCTGCTGTCATGTGATGCTATAGTCGGGTTGGAAAGTGAGCCACATTATATAAGATTAATAAAACTCATCTGATGAGACTTTATGGTTTCTAAGGCAGGACTCCCTAAGCCCCATAGATGGGCATTTGGGCAAGAAAAAAAAAAGGTGAGTTCAGTCTCACCATGTTGGTTGGTCTTCCTTGGTTATTGGAGTGGGAGTAACAGCAACCATTGGGCCCAGCAGTTCTTTTTATGCCTCTGAGGCTGTGGACTGACCATCCAAATAACTGATTTTAATCGTTTCATTATGGAAAATTGTCAGCAGAACCCCGAAGTAGAGAGACCCCTCAGTCAAGATATACCTCATGACCTTGCAAGCTAATCTAGCTTGACCTGCATCCCCTCCTGACCTGTGCAGATTCATTGAGGAATGTCATATCCATGCCAGCTGGTTAAGACATAGCCCTTTACAGTGAAAGTTGAAACCCAGGCTGTATCACTTGATTGGCTATGCCACTTTGAGAAAGGTATTTAAATGTTTTCTACTGCAGTTTCCTCATCTGAAATTGGTGGGTAATAGTCACTTCATAGGACAGTTGTGAGGAATGCAGAAAAATTGGTGCCATGCCTAGCATATATTAAATTTTCAGTAAGTGTTAAATATTATAATGAATATCAACACCTTTTTATTCTGGAGGCACAGATGGAATAAGGTGTAATAAGGTGTGTTTGGTGTTAGCCTCACATCAGGACATGCTGTGTTGTGATGCCCACACTCAGGATCTGTTCCCAGGAACCTGCCTACAGTTGTTTTCTTCTCTGGAAGACTTTGGGTCCTTTCTTTTTAACAAGAAGAGGCTCTACCTTGGGACTGGAAATTTCCAAGGCCACCTTTGAGGATCACAGAGCTAATTTTAGAGCTATTTTAGTCCCCAGCTCCTCTTCTCCACTCCCACGTTATCCATGAGAGGATTGTCTGCAGGGTAAGGAAGGACAGCCCAACCTCAGGTGGGGACTCCTTACGTATTGCCTTCCTGCAGTGCCTTCTCTGCCCTAAATTCTGTGGGTTTCCTTTGCACATATCTGATATCTTCTGCCGTACACTGTCCCGTCTGAGGCTCAGAACCTCTCAGCTGCTTCTCCTCATGGGGAAGGTTTCCCAGATCTGATGCCTTCATTCAGGACACTTCCATCATTGTCCCAGCATTCCTTTTCTCAGTGCTTTATTCAGGTTGCTGCATTTGTGGTACAGACCAGGTCTTATAAAAAATGATTCATTTAGCATGTGCTGAGCCATTGTCCTATCCCAGGAACAGGGCTTTGTAGTCATTGCTATATTCATCTCCTCAATCAATGTGCAAATTAGGAATTGGAATCCCCGTTTCACAGACTAAGAAGTGGTGTGTTAATCGGTTGAAATAATTTTTATGGCTGGGCACTGTGGCTCACACCTGTAATCCCAGCCCTTTGGGAGGCTAAGGCAGGCAGATCACCTTAGGTCAGGATTTTGAGACCAGCATGGCCAACATGGTGAAACCTTGTCTCTACTAAAAATACAAAAATTAGCCCAGCATGGTGGCTCACACCTGTAATCCCAACTATTCTGAAAAGTAAAGCAATAGAATCACTTGAACTCAGGAGATAGAGGTTGCAGTGAGCCAAGAACATGCCACTGCACTACAGCCTGGGGGATGGAGTGAGACTCTGTCTCAAAAAAAAATAAAAAATAGTTTTTACTTTATGTAACATATCTGGGATCAAGTAGACTGGGTTGTGGAGCAGGCTGGGATTTGGGGGTTTCTATTAAGAATTAGCTTCATTGAGGTATACGTGAGACAATAAAATTCTCTCCCATTTTAAGTTCTAGTTGAGAGGTTCCAGAAATGTATATAGTGAAGTCTTGATCATCAAATCAACATATGAACATTTTTCATCTCCCCAAAATGTAGGAGCTATTTTTTTATCTTAGAGAATTCTGGTGAAATGTACATGGAGGAGGTAAAGGTTTCAAGTTTGCCTCGTGTTGGTATCTAACTTATTGGTAACTAATTTAAACCACTTTCTTCTGGTTCTCAGTTTCTGTTCCTACAGGATGCTAACTCCCACGGAGGTCAACAGGTGGCAGGAGTGAGACCAAGCAGTTTGCAGTGTTCTCCATTCACACGCTGGAAATGAAAGTTTTCTGTATTTTTCCTCTCCTAATTATCTTGGAAGCGTTATTCAGTTTTTTTCAAATTTACAATGGAAAATATTGAAGTAGGAACTGAAGTAGAGAATATGTAAGAGCCTCTCTGTTCCCTTCTTGCACCTTAACACTTTGCTCTTCTTCTTTCTTCCAACCCACTCCCTGCCCTCCGCTTTCTGATTTCAGACTAGAGCGTCCTGAAGCTAACCCAGGACACCATTAAATTCACTGCAGCAACTTCTCTGAGGACTCCTTTTGTCATTATTGTTTTGTCTTTTAACGTAAGGAGAGTGCCAGAATCATACTCAACAACATTAGCAATTCATTCATTTCACTCATTACCCAGTTCATGTGGAAATTTTCCAGGTCTCAAAAATTTCTCCTTACAATTCAGATTTCATACTCAGGTTCATTACGATGGGAAGCATGAGAGCAGAAACGTCTAGAAGCCAGCTCTGTAGTGCCCCCAGTTTCACTTCTCCTTGTGATCGAGGTAAAGGAAGTTTCTCCACCTTGGCAAACTTCCCATCTGCTTGCTTAGTTGCTGAGCCTTGTTCATTCTTTCCTTGCCAGAGCTTTTCCATTCCCTTCCTTCTTCTGCCTGCCAGGCTCTTCTCCTAATTCTGCTTCTCCACTGTCTTTTGCTGCTCTGCCCATGAGGACAAATAATGATCACACCACTTACCTAATTGCCTGGCCCTAGTTCTGGTTCCTACTATAATGAGAAATGTGGATTCTGGAATGGCAGCGAGGAGCTATGTGGACTATATCTCCAGCAAAACACCATAACTAGTAATTTAGAAAATAAACCAAAAACAACCATTTAAACTCATAGAATTTGTCTTAAGACCACTCAGGAATTTAGAGAAATATTTATTCATAAGAATCAACTGAAAATGAGCCCTTCTGAGAACAGTGAGAGTCTGTAACATTTGACACACAAACTGCTACCCCTACCCCACCCCTACTTTGGTCCACTCTTGAGAGAAACTCCACTATGGGCTGTGAAAATCACAAGATGGAACCCTCTCCCTCTCCAGCTCTCAGTCTGTGGTGACAGTTTTTCCCTGAGAGAGGCAGGATGCCACTGTTCTTAACTTCTCTTCCCCTGGCAGTCCTATGTTCTGAAGTGGGTTTCATGTAAGCATCATTAAGAAGTGTGGTGTTCAGGGTGGATCCCTTTGAATTTATTCTTCTCGGCTTTGTAGATTCATGTTTGCCTTCAAATTTTGAAGTTTTGGCCATTATTTCTTCAGTAGTCTCTATATCTTCTCCTAAACACCCATATATAGGTCCAGCAAATGGTGCCCTGTAACTCTCTTGGGTGTGTTTAGGGTCTGTTTACTTTGTCTCATTCTTTTCTCTTCCTTCTTCTCTGTAATTTCAAATTCTTCTCTTTATGTTTGCTGATTCTTTCTTCTGCCTCCTCATCTGCTGTTAAACACCTCTACTGAATTTTTCAATTCACAGTGTTTTCAGGTCCAACATTTTCATTTGCCTCCTTTTTGCAGTCTCTGTTGATATTCTTATTCTGTTATGTATATTTTCCTGATTTCCTTTTCTCTATCCATGTTCACATAAGCTTTTTGAGAATCTTTTAGACAGTTCTAAAATGTTTCTCATATGCCTGAAGCTTATATTTCTCCAGGGAAAGTTTCCATTACTATTTTCTTTCATTTATTGGGCCATGTTTTCTGAGTAGTAGTAGTAGTTGTTGTTGTTAGAAATTAGTCACTGTGGAAAAAGTAACTTCCTTTTCCAGTCTTTGCAGACTGACTCTTTGCCAGGGAAGATTTTTGTTACTACCTTGGCATTGGTTCTGAGCTTTGGGATCAGCCTGAGGTGGTTTGAGATTTTCTCGGGCCTTTTTGGAGCATAGATCTTACCTAGCCCTGTGGCTTTTTCCATTTTCTCGTAGGCAACTGCTTTTAAATATTTATTTGTTCCAAGAATCTCTCCCCTGGGCCTCTGATGGTCTGTTGTTTGGCTCCACTCATAATATCTTGCCCCAGGCATCTGCTCTTCAGTCTGTCTGCATTTTTGCCACGTAGGATCCAGTGCTTTTTCTCCTTAAGATGTGATATCCTCAAAACAGAGAGAGCAGTCCCTCAGGCTGCCTCCAACAGCTTAGAACCTTGTAAGAAAGGTCTACTGGGCTTTCTCAGGTTTGAGGGAAGGAAGTGGAAACTGGGATGCTGCTTTAGAAGGTCTGTTGTATTCTGCACCTGTAATTTTTTGCCCCAGGCATCTATAGGCAAGTTCACCATGAGATTTTTCCACTAGGCAGCACTTGGACAGGTTAAAACACTGGGAATAAGGTGTATTGAGCTGTAAATATGACTGTCTCATTTTGTTGTTGGTACTGTTTTGTTTTCTTGAGACTGTATCTTGCTCTGTTGCCCAGGCTGGAGTGGAGTGGCATGGTCAAGGCTCATTACAGACACAACTCTTGGGCTCAAGCCAGGAATAGCTAGGACTATAGGCGTATGCTACCATACCTGGCTAATATTTATATTTTTTGTAGAGATGAGCCTTCACTGTGTTCCCCAAGCTGGTCTTGAACTCCTAGGATCAAGCAATCTATTTGCTTCAGCCTCCCTAAGTGCTGAGATCATAGGAATAAGCCACTGTGCCCAGCCAACTGCCTTCTCTTTTTAATGTGGCTTTTTCTTGATTGGGCAGTTGCTTGAATCCTGGGGACTTTTGACTGTTTTCAAATAAAGTTGGCTCATATAAAATTATTTCAGCCAATTTTTTGGCTAAGCATATAATTAAAAATATGACTAATGCTTTTTCTGTAAACTAGTATTGTGAAAAATCTCAAATGGACAGCAAAATTGAGAGAATGATAAAATGAATCCCCATTTTGCCTTCATCCAGTTTCGATAACTTTAAAACCATGAGTAGTTTTGTTCGATTTATCCCTTCTCCCTGTTTATGTGCCAAAGTATTTTAAAACAAATCCAGATGTCTTGCTATTTTACCCATATATACATGATCTCAGAAAGGATTTTTAATCAATATTGAGGTGTAACTTGTATACCATAAGAAGCACTACTTTTAACTATATAATGAGTTTTGACAAATGTATACACACATCACTTATCACCTCAATCAAGATACGGAACATTTCAACAGGGTTCCTATATGCCCTTGCAAGTAATCACTCCAGAGGAAAGTAGTCAAGAGTTCTCACCAAAATATGGACAAGTACTATCCAGCGATACATGAAAAGGATGATAAATTCTAGCCAAATAGAATTTGTTCTCAAAAACCCAAGACTAGAGTGAACATAGAGTAGCTACCTATGGAGATATTTAACCTTTTATCTGTAGTTCTCTGCTTAGGAACAAAAGGAAAGGCAACTTCTTGCATGAATCAGCTTTCAGCTTAATATTTTTCTTTTGGCAGCGTGGCCTGGGGTCTCATGTTTTTATTTTCCTTTCACTGCTTTCAGGGACCAAAAGAGAAAAACCTACATGACCGTCTTAATGCAGAAAAATACCCATTTAGGGTAAAAATTCTCAGCACATGCGGAATAGAAAGAATTTCCCTTAATATAACAGGTTATGTGTGACAAGCTGACTGCAATCATCATATTTAATGGTGAAGTATGTTCACACTAAGATCAAGAACAAGCATTAATGTTGATTCTCATTGCTCTTATTTAGCATTATCCTAGAATATCTAGCTAATCTGTTAAGGTATTAAAAAGGAATACAAGGCATACATGTTGAAATAGAAAAACTTTTTCTTCACAGAAGATGTGAGTATGTACATGGAAGAATCTGTAGTTAAACAACTATATACTAGTAACACAGTTTAGGAACTTCAAAAATAAGGTCAGTATTTTTAAAAAGGGCTTATATTTCTATAACCTAGCAGAAAACAGTTAAAAATGAAATACATATTTACACTACCATCAGAAACAAAATGTTTAAACTTCGAGTAAATGCAGGAGACTATCTTTGTGACTTTCGAATAGGTAAAGATAGCACAGATGGGACATGCAATGATGTAAACTATATAAGTATATAGAAATAACAAAAATGTTTTAAGTCACCTTTCAACTGCCATCAGAAAAAGCAATTTCACTGCTTTTCTTCTCCAACTGTGGGTAAACCAAAAAGTATCCAAGTATCAATTTGGATGTTTATTTTGCGGAGGTTGAGAACATGCCCCAGAGAGAGGTTAGTGGCTTTCTCCAAAGATAGACTTTGAAAGCCTCAGTGTTTAAAAGGGAAAAGTGGGCTGGAGGGGAAAAAGGGGGGGTGTGGTAATCCACAGTGGCAAGACAGAAGAAGCAGGTAGGAGAATAGTTCTGTATTCATCTCACCCTCGGTAAATCAGCACTTTACATAACGTAAGGTGCGCATAGAATAGCTACTATTGAGATATTTAACCTTTTATCCGTAGGAACAAAAGGAAAGACAGCTTCTTGCATGATTCAGCTTTCAGTTTAATATTTCCTTTTGGCAGAGTGGACTGGGTCCGTAGTTTTTATTTTCCTTTCATAACACCATTTGTTCATTTGTGTCTCAAAGTTGCTGGCTGGTGGATGTATGCTGTTTTCCCCATTAGCATCACATGATACCATCTTTGTTCTTCACATTTCCCTCTTATTACCCCTACATTTCTGTGTTTTTACTTTTACTTTTTTATCAAAATATTCACTTAAAAGTATAGCAAATACTCTGATGAAATACTTATACCCACCACTTTAATTTACACTTCTTTGTATTGCTACCTGAATTTTTTTTTCAAAAAATTCAGAGAATAGTAAAATGAACCCAGTACACATTATTCAGTTCTAAAAATTATCAAGTATGGCCAATAATGCTCAATTGACTTTTGAGGGTGAGAAGGGGTGTGTAAGCACACCCAGACATCATTTTCACTCATGAATGTTCTGAAAGTTTGTATACAAGGAAGGGCTTATTTCTTAAAACCCATAATATTTTTATAACAGCAAAACTAATGTTTGGTAATCTAATATCCAATTAGTGTTCCCATTTCACTGGCTGTTAAAACTCTTCACACATTCTTCGTTGCAATCAGGATCTAAAGTGCATTGGATTACTCATTGCCTTGGACTGACCATGTGTTTGAGGACTTGGATTCCTGACAGCTCATATTCCCCATGCTATTAATTTGTTAAAGGCTTTGGTGTTATACAGTACTGAATAATTGCCAGTGCCATCTGCCTATGGCCTACTCAAGTCTGTCTACCTCTGTGGTTATCCTACTTTAAACCCAGGGAGACTGAGGCTAGAAGAAGCAGACAGCTTTCATGTGTTCTTCTGTCCAATGCAAAAAGCACTTGGAACTCTGAGTCCTAACCTTAATCACAAGACCTCACCTGCAGGCGTTCCACATCCTTTCAATCCCTCAGTGATGTAAACAACAAACCTCACCCAGCTCCTGGGGCACAGGGTCTTTACTCCCAGGCAAGCTTGTCCTAGATTTGCAGGGAGTCTGCCTCCCTAGGTCTTTTGGCCAGACTCCCACGTGGGGATTGTGCAGGTGCACTCTCCCCAGCTCCCCAGTTGGTACTGGAATCAGGTCTGTGTCACACCTGGGGAGGGCATCTGTACCCAGCCACCCTCTGACATCTCTCTTTTCACAGATTGGTCATCTGCAAGCTTCTCTTCTCCATGAAGAGCAGGAAGACAGCCATGGAATCCCAGGGAGCCAAGACAGAGGTGAGACTTCCTCCTTGCTATCACAGGATGGGCCCACTTCCTTCACTGGCCCTAGCAGTCACATTGTTAGCACAAGACCAAGGTCAGCACTGCTCCTGGGGAGTGATCTGTCTTTCCTGACATCTTCCAGCGGGTGACTGGCCTGTGGGTATCATTCATCAATCAGTGATCTGTGCACAACACCCAGGGAGCATTTCCAGCAAAAAACAGAGATGTCCACATTCGAGTGTCAGTGATGATGTTGAGTTGGTGTCAGTGAAGTAGGCACAGAGAGAGGTCACAAAGGCCTTCAGCAGGAGGGGCTCACTGGGCAGCCATGAGGGATGTGGCAATTACAGGAAGTGGGGAAGAGGCAGAAGTGTGCTCAGTCTCAGGCTGCCACTGGGCAGACTGCTCAACTGCAAGGGAGACAGGGTTTAGCAGCCAACATTCTCACAGACTGGTGGTGGATGAATCCAAGTCCTAGGAGAAGCAGATGCCAAGATGCAATGAGATGGGCTGGGCTTACAGAGGAAACACCTACAAGAGAGAAAAGGACACCTGGAGCCTCATCAGACTTCAGTGAGGAGGAGGAGGGGGAGAAAACTGGAATTGTCAGAGACCAAGTACAGCTTCCAGAGGTTTGACCAGGGCAGCAGTCTTCAGGCCATAGTGGGCCATCAGAGGAGCGCCTGGAGTGAAATGGGCTTGCCTCAGTACCCTCACAATGTGTGGCCACTGACTGGAACAGCTGCAAGAAGCACGGAGTTGCAGGAGTGGGCTGTGGTCCCTTAGGCCCCCAACTCAGAAGTCTGTCAGGTGCTGGCTTGGGGTGGCCACAGCTGATCACACCACGTGATGGTTAAGGTGCAGAGTCACTTGGGGCACCTGAATATCCCTGGTTTGGCAGACAGCATGTTGGATGGTTAGATGGGCTTTCAGCATTACCAAACTGAAAGATTGCACCTACAGCCATGGGTCAGCTGTGTCTCTGAAGAGCAGTCCCTGCCCTGTACTGAGCCTGTATTGTCTGAGTTGGCCACAGATGCCCAAGCTCACCAGGGTCCTCACGGTGTGACACTGTAGCACTGCCACCTCCCACAGCTCTGCCTCTTCCTGCAGACCCCTCACAGCGTGGCCTAAGCTGCTGAGATAGCTCCCACCTACCTCATTGGCCCCTATCATCTGACTGTTCCTGAAAGTTTCTGTGCTGGCTACCTCTCACCCTCCTGAGGACGGAGGCCTGGATGCCAGTGTGAGGAGCCCAACTTGGTCTTTAAGCTGTCTGGGGTTTTCTTGTTTTTTTTGGTGGGGGGGATGGTGGTCAGAGTCTCACTGTTGCCCAAGCTGAGTGCAGTGCCACAGCAATAGCTCACTGCCACCTTGACCTCCCAGACTCAAGCCTCACATCTCAGCCTCCCAACTAGCTTGGACTACAGGCACCTACCACCATGCTTGGCTAATTTTTTATTTTGTGCATGTGTGGAGTTGGGGGTCTCGCTATGCTGCCCAGGTTGGTCTCAAACTCCTGGATGCAAGCAATCCTGCATCAGCCTCCCAAAGTGCTGGCATTACAAGCATGAGCTACCATGCCTCACCTGCCTGGATTTTGAGTATCTTTGCAGTAAGTATGACATGACAGATCAGTGATGGGGGAAATAGGGACTGACAGTTAAGGGTCAAAGGAGAAGCTTTCTGACTCATGAGTCTAGTAGTCCTGATGAGCTTCACAAATGGAATATTTATTTATTTATTTATTTATTTATTTTTGAGACAGAGTCTCGCTCTGTCACCCAGGCTGGAGTACAGTGGTACAATCTCAGCTCACTGTAACCTCCACCTTCCAGGTTCAAGCAATTTTCCTGCCTCAGCCTCCTAAGTAGCTGAGATTACAGGCATGTACCACCACACCCAGCTAATTTTTGTATTTTTAGTAGAGACAGGGTTTCATATTGTTGGCCAGGCTTGTCTTGAACTCCTGACCTCAAATGATCCTCCTGCCTCTGCCTCCCAAAGTGCTATGATTATAGGCACAAGCCACTGCGATTGGCCATGAATGGAATTTAAATTCATCAAGCACCTGCAGAGATGCCAGACTGGTCACATGTATAGTTGCAGAACAGACGTACGGTGAGAAGGGCTCTTTCAAAAGTGCTCCATCCACTAATTCAGATGTGCTCAGACTGCCCTATATGGCATTGGATTTTTGGTAGGAATCAGATCTAGGCTGGATCCAAATTCTGTGATCCTGCAGTGGAGATTTACAGTGTTCCAGGGCTGGTCCCAAATGATCACTTTTCATTTTGTCAGAAGATCCATGAGAGCTGTATCTTCCTCATTTATAAATTCATGGAGTTCTAACTCAGAACATGGCCCAGGGTACCATAAAACTTTAGTAGTGTGTTATTTACTGTTCATATGTTTGTAGGAAACACTGTCATTTAATTTTTGAGGTTTCCTCTTCTCCCTGCCTAGGTTTAAAGCTCCACGCAGGTTTGAACTCTCTGTGCTTCTAGGAAGCCCCATGAAAAGTACCTAGCACCATAAATACTGGGGCCAGGCAGAGATGGAGGTCTTGGAACTCCAGGCACAGGTGGCAGATCCTGGAATCCTCCAGTTACCAGTCTTGCAGAGTGCAATGCTGTCCCTGGTGAGCTGGCCTGGGTTTTGTGTTACAGTCTTTCATGGCATTTGGGGATGTGACTGTGGATTTCACCCAGAAGGAATGGAGGCTGCTGAGCCCTGCTCAGAGGGCCCTGTACAGGGAGGTGACATTGGAGAACTACAGCCACCTGATCTCACTAGGTAAGTGTGGCTTCCCCTAGGTTTAACATTTGGCCTGTGGTGCCTCTGATGTTGCCATAGGATTAGTTTCAGGGACAAGGATGTTGTTTTCTCTATTCTCCTTGGGAGGGTCTGGCTTTGGTAGAGTTTCATACTGGCTGTCACTGGGCACCTGCAGGCTTCTCTCCCCAAGCTGGGGCTCTCCTGGGGGCTTGTATATAAGCATGGTAGACAGGATCCTTCTGAGCTTTCCCCCTCTCAGACTCACTCCCTTCCCGCCGTGGGTGGCTCCAGCAAATGGCCCTTAGAGCCTACAACTAGGAATCACCTCATGGTTTTTTTCCCTGTGAGCAGGAATTCTCCATTCTAAACCAGAACTCATCAGGCGGCTAGAGCAAGGGGAAGCACCCTGGGGAGAAGAGAGAAGACACCAGCCGGGCCCCCATGCAGGTGAGGGGAAGGACAGGGTAGACAGCACAAACACAGCCTTTTGGGAGGGAGGAGGCTTCTCTGAAGCCAGGGTACCTGGAAGCTGTTCTGGCCTCCTTGGCTGCTCTTCAGACCACCTGGCCCTGCCTTCCTTCCAGTCCTTGCTGAGTGAGGGGTTCTCCTGGGGTCCCTGGACTCCTCCCAGGAAGCCTCCTCTCCCCCCATTTTCTAGTTTTCTTTCTCCCACTCAGTCTCCCCATTTGTGACTTTCCTCGTCACCACCCTACCGCAAGACTAAGTCTATTGCCCCTTCCTAATCCTGTCCGGGTATTCTTAAAACCTCTGGCCATTATTCTTCTTCAATTCCCATAGCTTTTTTTCTTCTGGTTTAATGTTTTAAGCAGTATTACTCTTGCCAGAGGTCACTTCATCTTCCTCCTTCCCCCATTTCCTCCAGACGTACTGCCTGAGTGGGGCTGTGGTCTCGAATTGTGCACCCTCTTAAGTCCTAGTAGTCACTGCTGTGGTTCTTCAGGACCCTGATGATGATGTTTCTTACCTCTAGGATGGACTTGTTCTCTCTTGAAGCAGTTTTAGTTCATAATTAGGCCTTGGGCTCCTCTCTTCTCTTTTCATGCTATTTTACAGGCTTCCCTCACTCCTCAGTGGGACTGCAGAAGAGTGCTGAAAAGTGGTGTTAAGTTTTCTGCTTATGACAATGATAAATTTGTAGTTTTCTCTGTCTTGCTATGTGTCAGTTTCCAGGGTCATCTGTTTCTCTTGATCTTTATATCCTATTTGGAAAATGTGTAGACAGATTTTGATTACTCAGCTGCAGTTCTCCTTGAGTAATTGGAAGTTTCTTTTATGTCTTCTTTAAGAAATCCTTCCTAAGTTGAACTTGCAAGGCAGAGATTGCAGTGAGCCAAGATCATGCCGCTGCACTCCAGCCTGGCAACAGAGCAAGACTCTTGTCTCCAAAAAAAAAGAAATCCATACTAGGCTGAAGTTATAAAGATACAAAGATCTAAAGATACAAAGTTGTGTGTTTTTTTGTTTTGTTTTTGTTTTTCAGACAGGGTCTTGCTCTGTTGCCAGGCTGGAGTACAGTGGTACCATCTCAGCTCACTGCAACCTCTGCCTCCTGGGGTCAAGTGATTCTCCTGTCTTGGCCTCCCAAGTAGCTGGGACTTCAGGCATGTGCCACCACGCTCAGCTAATTTTTGTATTTTTAGTAGAGACAGAGTTTCACCATGTTGGCCAGTATGGCCTCCATCTCTTGACCTCGTGATCTGCCCACCTCAGGCTCCCAATGTGCTGGGATTACAGGCATGAGCCAACATGCTCGGCCATTGTTGTTTTTTTTGGTTTTTTTTTTTGAGACAGAGTTTCACTCTTGTCGCCTGAGCTGGAGTGCAATGGCGCCATCTTGGCTCCCTGCAACCTCCACCTCCCAGGTTGAAGTGATTCTCCTGTCTCAGCCTCCTGAGTAGCTGGGATTACATGTGCCTGCCACCATGCCTGGCTTGTTTTTTGTTTTTTTTGCATTTTTAGTAGAGATGGGGTTTCACCATGTTGGCCAGGCTGGTTTTGAACTTCTGACCTCAGGTGATCTGCCCTCCTCGGCCTCCCAGAATGCTGGGATTACACAATTGAGCCACCATGCCTGGCCAAAATATAAAGATTTGTGTTGTTGTTAACTCTTCTGAGTCTTTATAGATTTTTTTTTTAAGGAGGGCAGTTTGAACTATCTGTCCAATACTTGGAGGTGGTTTTTACATCTTCTGTATTCATAGTGGATTGTTCCA